TCCATCAGCCATCACAAGTATCAATTTAATACTTATTCTTCAATAACACTTTGCCTGGAATCCCTATATTTGCTTTTATGAAATTATAATCGCATGGTCGCTCTACGAAAGCCTCCTAACCCGCTCGTATAATGTAAGCGAAACTGCTACGAGAGAACTACGCAACCTTTTAAGGTTAAGTGTTACTAATATTGCAGCAAGTTTCGAGCAATTGCGAACAAACTGCCGGCACGGAGCTCAGAGAAAGTTGTTATCCGGCGTACATCTCGTGCGGTTTCTTAATGCCTTACTCGAAAGACGAAACTTATGATTTACGTCTTAAGAAAGGTTCAAACTTACGCTTCTCGACACGCGGCTTGTTACTGAACCGGTTTGGCATTAGACCGATTATATATATACAGACCAGAAAAAAGGCGGAGAATTTGGACTCAATAATAATTTAGAAACATTCATTTCAAAAATATTCAAAAAAAATGTAGATGTTACTTATTATGAAGCTTCTGGATTCCTCCTGCGTCGGTTTTTGTTAAGTCGAACTTTCTAACGTTTCTCCAATCATCCTGTTAGTTTCTTCACAGCTTGACCGAAACTGGCTCGTATTTTACTCTGTAACTGCTTATATATTGTTTGAGGGGGGCGGAGCTAAATGAGGGGCATAAACACCGTCTCGAATGACTGATTCCCATATTGGTGACAGGTAGAGACCTGAGTCGCGGTTAAGATTGTTGCGTTGCTTGTGTATTTCTACAGACTCTTGTATTTTTTGTTGCTAGAAGAATTGATTACATGCATGAATTTTAGTTTTATCGAATAAAATTTTATGTCCGGTTTCGTGATTGTGTTCGGCAACTGCTGATGACTTAATTTATTTTACTTAGTCGTAGAGCTCTTTCATGTTCTTTGAGCCTAGTGGATATTTTTCGTCCAGTCTCTCCAATGTATTCCTTGCTGCATATGCATGGAATGCTGTAAACTCCTGGCATCTCAAATGGTATTTTGTCTTTGACGGATCGAAAATGTTGAGAGATTTTTGGATAAATGGTAAATTTGGTAATATTGGTGACAAGTAGAGACCTGATTGTTAGGTTGGTTATAGATTTCTATAAACTCTCGGATTTTTCGTTGGTTAGTTTCCACGTAGAATCTCTCTGATTAATATATGTTTTATAAAAGATGATAGATTACAGTTTACGAGAGTTGGCTTTTAGCTGTGCGCCTTCTTTATCTGTCTAAGTTGTCTAGGTTCGTCTACTTGATTAGTTGTTTTACGAAAGACCGGGGTCGAAAGTATTGTCGTTTTTAACAATATCAATGTAATTTCTCTAATGAAATTTCCATAGGCTAGTTGGGAGTACTTACACATCTTCTGGAATCCTTCTGCGTCGATTGCTGACCTCATGGTTCTAAATCCCTCCGAGAACTTCTAAACCATATTTAAACATACGTTTTCCCATTAAATTCTTCTTTTCTTAGATATTTTTATTAATAAAAAACCAGACCTAACATTCAGTTTACAGAAAAGCTACGCCACAGTAGTCCTTCATTACATTCAAATTTTCTCTGACCACATAGTTTGAGGCACTAGCAGTTTACAGCATTCCATGCATATGCAGCAAAGAATACATTGGAGAAACAGAACGAAAAATATCAACTTAAGAAAAAGGAAATAACTTTAGGACTATCTTTATGCCCTGCCAGAGGTTAAACATCTTTAGGTCACTAGCAGGCGGTAAGAAATTGCAGGGTCTGAGGCATGAAAAAAAATCGTTAATGAATAAGTATAATGTAATGTAATATAATAATATGTGTAATATATTTAATGTAATAATTGTGAAACAACAGAAAGTTTGATTACTGCAGGAATTATTTGCATGTATAACAGCTACATATCCGATTAAGAAGTAGGTCATACAATCTTTGAAAAGTTCTTAGCTTGCGACCTAGGAGTCCTATCTATCAAACGCGTTAAACAATTTCGGACAAATGGCGTTAACCCGATAGCATGGATTATATGATTGAAAACTCTATAGCACACTTTGAATACTATATTTTTCCAGATTCTCTTTTCCTTTTGCTCCTTCTGGTTACTGCTAAAGGAGGTCAACTAAATGTGATTTAGCTGTTTGGAGCATATCTTTCCGTGTCAGATTATAAGGTGTAAGGTGTAAATTGCTGTCATTTTTGTGTCATGGAAAGCTTCGTGTTTCTATAAAAACTTTATAGAGCTTTTTTTATACAGAATTTACTGACAAAATTTCCAGTAGGAACGAGAGTTTTCTTTTAATAGCCTCCAATTTGGCCAACCATGTTTGGAGAGCGAGTATTTCTCATATAATCAAATTCAGATTTGATTTAATTAACAGCCATTCCGATTTGAATAATGAGTATTTACCGCAAAAATGGCCAAGTTGCGGCATTCAAAAAAAGCGGTCGTTGTGTAATATGCTTTTGATGGGCTACCCTATAGATGTTTCCCCTCTTGTACGTTTTTCTCTTTTATACGCTGCACGCGCAAAGTTCCAAATAAAACGTCAATTGCAGCCAATGTAACGCAATTTTCAATAAACAAATTTAAAATTACGATTCCTGCAATAATGAAGCATGTAAAATAATTACTGCATAGGGGACGACGAAAACAGTTTAACAGGAAATTTAATTGTTTCCTGCGAGTATATATTAATTAACGTCTGTAGCAGTTGCCATCAGCAGGAGCCGACATGGCAGGACGACAGGATAGAGTATGGGGTTCCTGCAGCGGGCAGCGGGACTATTTCTTCGACAGCTGGACATTTTCCAGATGACACGTATTAAATTAGGGTGGGAAAGTCTGCACTTGCCAAGCGGACGAAGCCGGGAAAGTGCTTTGGAAGTGATTTTTTTTAGTCGCACGGTGTCTGATAAAAATTAAAGACTTTTTTCGCAGAAGGCGGTGATAGTATATGTTGGAGACTTACACGTGATAAAATAAGGATCTTGCAATTAAAAAAAATGGTTTGTTGAAATTGTAATAATCGTAGAAATTCATAAATTGGGTTGTGATAAATCGGTGTATCTATATCTATCTATTTTATTGAAAAATATTTGTGTGGAAATTATATTAAAGAAAGATAAAAATAACCCTGTTAGCTAACTTAGTTAAACAGAAATAATCATTACCTTATTAAAGATACTAACTAACTAACTAACTACTAATATTCATTAGATATTAATTTTACTAGTAAGACCGCAATACTCTGATCACCTTGTTTGTTACTCCCAAACTGAAGATAAAAGATTATACAGGGTGATTTACGGTGGATGGTGGTGGATTATTGTGAACAAGAGCTACTACTGTTCTGAAACTTTTATTAGTTACTTGAGCAAGGCCGATCAATCCATCTGATATCTTTCTGGACATTCGAGGTTGCCGCTTTTACTAAAAAGTAGCATATGCTCTGATATTTTTATTGGAACGTCCTGTATATTATTGCGTTTTCCGTATGCTGTATTTTTTGTTGAAAATATAGTTTGAGTTAAATATTTATTACAGCCCTATTTGAATTCGTAGAGAGCTAGTATAGTTTACGAAGGTTTCGCGAAATATTTTTATGTTGACAAATTTGCTCAGTAATGCCCGGGGGACATTCTATCATCTATTCTGAAAGATAATTAAAAATCCTTTCTCATATGGATTATCATTTGTAAGGATGTAAATTAGAATACATTTTTTTAAACGTTACGAATGCTTTTGCTATTATTTGACTACGTTGATCGTGAAAAATAAAGAAATTCATCAAAACTTTGCTTAACACATTTACGACCTCGCACACACTCGGAAACTCGCACAGTATAGGTACTTACAACATCTCATAAAGTTTTCAAAGCGTTCAATCCAATCAATATACTTTTAATTCAAAATCCTTAATATTTAGGTACAGGAATATGACATATCACATGAAGATGAAATTTCCAATTGTAGGATGGGATTGGCCGTACCAAATCATGGAAAATCTGTTCTGAAAACTAAATCAATTATAATTGTCTGAATAATCTGTCGCAGTCATCATTTGTTGCATTCTTCTTGTTAGCGGTTGTAAATCCAAAAGCATGATTTTCCAGTTTGTAGATTATTGGATTTGCATAAATAATATTTGAAGTCAAATTGCTCAAGTCTTGCGTCATATTGGAATTCTCAAAAAAAATATGTTAGTTAGAAAGTATAGTATTTCTATCAGGCTTTGCATGATATTACATGTATTACATAGATTACATAAATCTATAGAATACCGGATGGGATCAAGATGCTTACGATGCTGCTAGTTAGGCTAGAAACGACTAGGGTTCGCTGGTATACTCAAAACAGGGTTAATTTCTTTAAATGTTGATTTTCCTTTTTCTTCTAGAGCTTCTATAAGTTACGTTGTATCATTAGCTCTATCGAATGTCAGTGAAACTCGATTTCAGGCCCAATCAGCAACGAGCAAAGGAGCAAATACTATCTAGAAAGTTTTGCTTAGTATTGCCTTACTTTTTTCTAACAAATTTAACAAATGTATAGTTAAAACATACAAGTTTTATAGAGAATACCTTAATCCCATACTTTGCTGATAATATAACATATAATTTGGAAAACGCTTCGTATGTAGTTAACATAAACATAACAACTACGTATTTAGAACAGACACCACATTGAACGTGACAAAGATCGCTACTTCCCAATTTATTGTGTAGAATATATTTTTTTCAATTGCTGCCGTGCGTGTTAATATTCCCCATTTAAATTGCCATTAACAAAACATTCCAACGTTACACTAAAACGCTAAAATAACTTAACTTCAGCAATTTAGAAATACTTATTTCTCGATAGTTTTGAACATTGGAATTCCTATGCCATCTCTAGTAGTTGACACGTTCTCCTAAAGGCCTACAACGTAGACGATTGTTTTAGTTATCGTCATTACATTAACAGCAAAGCTAGAGTAGAGCAGTAATTAAGTCTTACATAGTATTTTCCGTTTTAGGACAGCAACAACAGTTCCATTTCGCCTTCGGACAGCGACCCTTCCCGTTTGCAACGTCCGATCCTCTGTCGGGATTCCGGATGCCTCCCATTGGGAATTGCAATAGTAAGTGAATTTTGTTTATGTTTTTTTGCAGGTGAAAAATTTTATAATAGTTTAAAGTTTGTGCGTGGTGTGCGGGGTTACCTTAGAGTTATGTATTGGAGTCACTACTGTGCTTACTTTATGTGCTGCATCTGTGTTGGGTTTAAAGTAGTGAGGATAATGTGTTAGTTTAAATAGGTGGGGAGGAAAGGGCATTGAATAATGCTTTAAGCTTAATCTCTACTTATTTTAACGATATTATAATGAACTCAATGTAAATATCGATCAAACAAAATTTGTAATATTTCAACAAAAAAATAGCTGATTCAAAATTTATGCATTAAAATTAATAACCAAAAAATGCAATGTAGGTTCTAATTGTTAATAAATTTAACTAGCCCGGGTATATTGAATATATATTTTTTAAAATAATACCAATGATTCCACTAACATACATATGTAGAGATACCTCATTAATTAAAATGAAATATAGTGACTATTATGCCTTTTCTTTCTCACATTTCAGATTTCATTGTGCGGAGCACGTGGTAAAACTAATTTTGACACTGCTCAAGTGCTTCGGAATAGAATTTTGAATCTGTTATTTAATTATGTTAGGTTAGCAAACACGAACGGATTGTACGTTGAAATTAATATTCATAGATATTCATATGATTATATTGCAGTTTGGACGTTTTAAATTAATTTACAAAATATTTACAATATTTGCAAAAATAAAGCTCAAAAATCTAATGTAACCATCGTGGTTGTTAACTATGTATGTTATTACTCCACTAGATCTCTAAATAATATTTATTAAACAAATGCAAGAACAAATTTTGAACTTAATAACGCCTTAGATATAAAGACATATATAGGCTCTAGAAATACTACGGAATATTAAAAATCTTAGATTGTTTTTAAGCAAATTACATTTTATATTTCTATTCTTATAAATAAGTGAATCTCTGTGAGAAATAATAGCAAGTATGCTCGGGTTTAGGGCTATCAAGCACTGTTTGGCGAAAAACAAAAGAAAAACAGCTTGAATAAAATAAAAATATTTCGGCTTCACTGTTTTCAAAATCACAAAGTAATATTTAATCTTTTTCATATTTCAAAATGCGATAAACATTTTTTTTTAATATAGAAAAAGAAAGTGCAGTAGAGCGTGCAAAAACTAAATAATGTTGCGTTCAAAATAATGTTACAAAAATGGCTTCGCAACTCGTTAATAACCGAAAAAGGGAACGTAATCGAAAAATTAGAAAACATGCGAAAAAATTCCTATTTATTCATTGCTTTAACAAATTAGGCCTGAGCGGAAATATTATTACTTTTGCTGCTCTCCTATATAGCCGAGTTGGTTTGTTACAAAGAACACGCTAATAAACGTTAATAAATCTACATTACTAAATGTTTCTGGTAAGGTGTGTCGATGTCAAGTAATAGGCCAGTCAAAAAATGTAAATCGGCTTTTTTTTATGGAAACCACATATCGAAATGATGAAGAGGAAGCTCGTAATGGTCCCTACAAAATATAAACATGCAGCTCAGGTCATGGTCGTTAAATGACTTGCGGATAATATACATTGAACTAGTAAATTCGGTGTTCACTGATGGTATTGGTTAGATCCTTTTATTAAATTGCAAAGAGGTTTCTGTAGGAATGCTGCTAAATAACTTTTGAAATATTTGAAATCTATAGAATATTAGTTAAAAAGGGAGAATTGCAACTTACCTTACCCGGTATAATAAATAATATAGAGCGACCATCTCATATTTTGACTCTAAAGTTTTTTAACTCCCTAATTTCAGATATAAATAATCATATACTTTTCAAATCCATTAGATATGCCCGGTTCAATTTTTGTTCGGTTTACCTTAGCCCAGGTTCTTGTTATAGCTTGAATTCAGCTGAATATTTACTTATCTCAATGAATAGTTCCGTAGTCCATCTCTTATATGTAGTTCATTCAAATCTGCAATCTTAATTTAGTATGTTTACATCCAACAGGATTACTACTTTTAAGAGCTATAGTTAACAATACAAAATTTTGTCTCTGGTATTTTAGATGCAACTTTGACTTTGACAAAAAATATGAGGGTTCAAATTTGTAAAGTCGCTACGCCACTGAAAACGCTTTCAACCGGCCGTTTTTATAAAACCTATCAAACCTGCGTTTTGTCCACGTGTTATTGAATCCATTCCCTGCCGCAAAAACGAATTAATTGCTTTTTACTTTGCTTTTCAGACCGTTTGTTTTGTTAGCGGTATTCAAATACACACAAATTGTTGTCCAAACGCCGAGACCATCTCGGAACGGAAACGGAAATATATATCACAAAGCAATTTATGTGCGTTGTTTTATCAAACTCATTAACTTGTTAATTAGCGGTATACGTCCCGAAAAAAGCAGTTTTCATTTTTAATTTCGGGATAATTGGCTTTTGGTTATGAGTCTTTTTGTCGAGGTTTTTTCCGGGAATTGATGGAATCGCTCTCTCGTGTTACGTGTGTGACGAACCGATCGAACGGGTTTTAACGAGCACTCGCAATCCCTGTACCTGTATGTAGGTATACACTGATTTTTTTCCTATTTCGGTATAAAAATGTCATGATTTCGGATGCTATAGTACTTTTACGATTATTTTATAACGGTGTCATCGTCATGCGTGCGTCCTCGTTTCGGTAGACTTAGGTTTGTTGAAACTTCAACTAACCACAAAGAGGCTTATCGAGGTGGTTTCTCCCCCTTAGCAGAAATATTTCATAGGCTATCATGTATGACCTTTATTCAAATTAAATCCTGATGTCGTTTACGTTTAAGTTTAATTTACTTTTTTTTTTAAGTTCGAACACATTGACAACGATGTAATAAGAACGATCACACATTATCAATAAAAATGACTTTCTTCAACTTGTAGAGGTGGAGATGGTGTTTCTAAAAGTATTATGAATTTTTTTCCATGATCTGTTTATACAATTTGCAGCATCTGGAAGTGTTCTCTTGTACAACTTTGGTGTAAAAAGTTTTTGTCTACCACCTTTAATAACCTTTGTAGGAGGACATATTTTAATAACAATAAAATATACTATATACTATACTACGATGTATAAATCGATGATTTGTTTACGACTGATTCGCCTAAAACAGTCTTAAACAGTCAACATTTATATTTTAAACTGCGTATATTACCCTGCAATTTTTTTGCGGTTCCGATCATTCCTTTAGGTGTAGTATCCATAATTTTGTCTTTTTTGCAAACAACGTTATTGCTTGTGGCGATTTACTGCATATATGCAAACAATTTAACAAAACATGATTTCTCGCTTTTTGGTGAACTTTTCCGTCATGTACGCAGAACTGTATAGAACTGCCCGACACCTAGCGAATGTAAAATGCAAATTTAATCTATCCGGAGCAGAAGTTAATGAATAAAATAAGTATAAATATTTAATCTAGTTAAGATTCGAATCGTTCCAATTATTTACATTTTGTTTACAAGCGGTAGCGGCGGAGTTTTGTTTCCATTTAAAACGTTCGTCCCTCCAGGGATTCATAAACTGAAGTCGGCCCGAATTAAATCCGTTCCGTGAAACCTTCATATATACATAAGTAGGAATTATTAATCCTCTGGGAATTCAAACTCACCCTGAAGGGTTAAAAGTTGGTTTTTCTACACGAATTGCCGTATTCGTAGTATTATCCTATGTCGCATTTTTAGGAAAGTAAACAAAAATATACTAGAAGGTTCAAATAAGGAACAAGATAGATGTTATTAATTTACTTATTATAACAGATAAAATCAATTAAAATCTCATTGTTCCCATTGAGAATATATACATATATATATATATATATATATATATATATATATATATATATATATATATATATATATATATATATATATATATATATATATATATATATATATATATCCTTTATCAAGTTAGTGGAGAAGACTGAGAGTTTTCTTTTGGTTTCAAATAATTATTGCAAATGTGTAGGTGGCTGGCGCTCACTTTCACTTTCATTTTTATTATTACCCATTGAACTATAGAAAAAAAACTTTCTTCTTTCCAGATATGACTCAATTCGGTTTGGGCACCACAAACTCCCACTGGGGTTACAGCGCGGCCGGCGCATATTCACCATACTTCACCCCGAGCACACTAGGATCGTGTGGTGCCCCGACGGCTCAATTCAATACCCCCGCGCTGGGGTTTTCCGGCGCAACCCCCGATCAGTCGTCGACTCAAGAGGCTTTCACGTCCGGATCGGTGAGCTCGTGTAAGTGTTTCCCGAATCGAAATCACCTGCGAAAAATTATCTACGGCGTTCCTTCTACGTTGCAGTGTTGCCCGATTCATCGCCATCCGACCTGGACCAGCACCTGGGGTTAGTTTCGTCGCAGAACCACGCCAATCACGCTCAATCGTCCCACGCGACGTCCCTGTTGGTGCCGCGATACTCAGCAAATCACAGCGACTTCACATTGTCCGGCCCGAGGTCGCTCTCGGATAATTCCAGTGCCGCCGAGAGTCCCGTCCAAGACGAAATCCTCACGTCCCAGACGTCGTTGGGGGTGAATCACGCGAACAATCCCAACTTCAACCTTCACCAGAACATGACGCAGACCACGTACGCGTCGAGTAACTGCAACAACTCGATTTATCCGGTACTGCCCGGATTACTGTACTCGCAACTATACTCGGCAGCCAATCAGTCTCACAACTTCCACTCGCTTCACACTCACACGCCGCAGGGTCACCACAACGACTTGCAGAGCGTGATGGATCACCTATCGAACAGCTCGCATCAGAGACAGATGAGCGGTGGCGGTAGTGATTTGTTGCTCAACAACGGGACATGCGCGGCAGCCGCAGCTAGGCAAGACGACGCGCATAATCGGGTGCTGAATTCTAGCGCAGCTCAGAGAGGTCCCGGGCAAAATGGAGATGCGGTCGTGTGGAGGCCGTATTGAAGATATGTGATGAGAATTTTATTATTGTTATGGTGATTGATGATTCGTGCAATATTACCGAAGGTTGTTTTCGATTGGTCTCCTAGTGATTTGTTACATTGGGAAGCTAGTTAAATGTTATCGGGTCGAGAACCCGCCAAATAGCACTGTGCCCCCAAACACAAGCATTAACACAGTTACCAATAATAGTTACATTTGGCCAGATGTTGAATGATTTGGTGTTAGGATTTTTACGCGACAAAAATTTCCAAAAACAAAATGGCGTATTATTTATCAGTAGATAAAGAGAGTTCAGAAGAACATAACCTTAAACGTTACAATCGCCACCCTCGTCACCGCAGGGCCCCAATCTTTCTAGGGGGTGCTCCGCCCTGGAAGTGGGTGCTGATGCTTGTAGGGTGTGCTGACATTACCTTTTATAGATTTTTATGTTGATCTACCTGCTTTTTTAATTCCGAGTGCCTATGGAAAGTCCTTTATATAAATATAATGCGGTGTTTATTTTTAGTGGGTACTTATACGGGAAAACCGACACTTTCTGACAAGAAAAAACATAGAAACCACTAGAAATATAGACTATGCCGATAATGTAGGAACTTATGAAGCAACTTCGAAAAAATGTTTGAGAGGGTTCATTCAACAAACGCATGCCCGAGATTCAAAATCTCGCTTATAACCAATGACCTTGTTGAACTCAACAATCGACATGGCCGCTGAAAGTTGGTTAATAAATTGAAATGCCGCCAGCGTTGCATCAGTTTTAGAGCGACTATATTATCTAACAGCTGTATGGTTGTGATTTTTTTTAAAATAATGACTTCATCGAATTGTATATTTAAATTTAAAATAGTCGGGGTTTCCACGTCAATACTTATTTCAGTTCTGCCATACCAATATTGATTTAACTTAAGGGGGTACAACTCATATGCTAATGCTAATGAAGCAGTTTAAGCAGATTTGAACTATAATAACATTTTTTTTACCTCTTATTACTTCTTTACTACTTAATCTTAAGACGAAAATTTGGTATTAAATTATTTTCAATTTTTTCAATACATACCAATTGGTGCGTTCTCTTTTTATTATTAGTGAGAAACGATATTTCAGTTATACATAGTAGTCATCATAAAGAGTTTTAGTACTTGAATAATTAATGAATTAATCTAATTAATAGCAGTGAATATTTTTATCTTATTTAACAGAAAAATCAATTTTGAACCAATTACGTTTCTTGCTTTTTTCTCATATCTCTTAAACCATCATTTTAGTTGCTCATGCGGCTTTAAATAATTAAGGGAGGTACAACAATAACAATTCTTATTATTTTGATAAAGTACTGAGGATCTTTGAACTAATTTTAATTATGTGTTCCAAAAATTACTGGAATATCGTTTTCCAATAACTAATAACAAAAATAAAGCGTATCAAATTTTATTTTTTCAACACTCTGTATTTCAAAAACGAAGCAATATTCAAAAAAAAATTTATAGCCCATTCAATTTTAAAATTAGTTGAGCGGAGTGGAGTTTGAGCGATGAGGAAACACCGTGTATAGTCTGATACTAAATAGATTCACACAGTTGTTTTCAACATTTTTTTTCTAGTCCGTAGGTTGGTACCTGATAACGTTTAACTGAGCTTGTCGGCAATTTCATTGGCTGAACAGTTTTGTTTGCATACTTTTGTTCGTTTGTTTTTTCGTAAACATGTCCAGTCAGTATTATAAAATATTTAATTTAGATCGTCTCCATAATGTAATATAAATGATATAATCTTTATTTTATAACGCCGAATTAAACGTTGGTTTGTTTAGTTATGTAAAATAGCAGCCTGGACTATTATATCCGTTGGACCTGTTTTCCGTAGCTATACCGAAACGTCTCACGAAATTGTTAGAAAATTTTGGACTCGTATCCATTAATTTACAAATACCTATTGTTTGTTATTCAACTGTTTTCCGTTTAAGGTTGTAAAAATAATAACAACGATCGTATATAATAAAATATTTAATGATTTAATCGTTACCGTTTTACTAGACCTTCGCACTTTGCTTTCCCTAACTTTGCTTTTAGATTCGCTACTTGCCCGTTTTCCGCCCACCCACTTCCGCCAAAACCGCAGAACGGTTAATTTGAACAAAAGTTTGGGGACGTTCCCGAATAAACTAAAGGATTTTCAGAGACGGGACTGCGACTGGACCCGCTTCTTTCTATTTTTAACCCTTTAAATTTCGGTTTTGTTTTCGGGCATTCTCGAAATTTTACTGAAACATCCCCGGTATTTGCGGATGGGTGTTTGTTTCAGACGGCTATTTATTTCGAACATCGGGTCGTCGTTAACGGAATTTCCGGTTTGCGTTTGAGAAACGTGCGCAAATTATATTCGAAGGGGATGCGGGATACATACTGTTATCGCAAGGAATTTTATATAGGCACATTTCCCTTTAACTTTCTTAATTGGGGCGTCGCTGAGGGCAGATGCCGATAAAATTATGCACACTAATTAAAATGGTGGACGTGACTTTCGTACGTACAGAGAAACGCCCTGTAGTTATTGACCAACACCAAATTTTACTTGCGATTGATATATAACTTCCAAAATTCGATAACTTGAAAAATAAAAAACATAATAATTGGATCTGGAATGAAATCGATGAAATCGAATTTTTCAAAAGTATACGCGCTAGTATTTTTTTTCCAGATCCCGGTAACGGTGCATCGTACAGCGTCGCCATTGGTACAGATAGAATCAGCGTCGAAAAAAAACTTTTTTTTTCTGATTCTCCGTTCTCCGTTCTCGGTTCTCCGTTCTCCGTTTCTCCATTCTCTGTGTCACGGGTTTTAATTCAATTCTAGCCGTTTGAACTAGGTGGCTCAATTTTTGCTCCTTTTTTACAGTCCACTAGGTGCACACGATATTTGAAAATGGCGGGGATCGGAGATTGGCAGCCACCTTTTTTTTTCGATTTTCGACTGTTGCTTGGACATTGCCATGAGACACGATAAATGTCCGAAAGTTGAAGCTATCGACTTCAAATTTTGTAAGTAAATAGCTATTGGTCCCCTGACGGAACCTATCGAAATTGAGGCGCTGAGGATCTGAAAGTATTTAAAAAAAAATAAAAATCACGTTTGCAAGGGTCTAAGAAAAAAATCATTTCTCGAAAACGGCTTACGCGACGAAAAAATTCTTAAGCGCGAAGATGCAGAAGATTCGGCTCGATAGGATTTTATTCATAAAAACTTTTCAAAAGTGTGCAGGGTGCGCCCCAAATTCAAAAAAATTGAAAAATAGGTCCCGCTGGCTATAACTGAATAACTATGCTTCGGATGTCGGTTCATTTTACATGGCGATATAGTGCGCATAAACAGCCAAAACTTTTGTACTTAAGGTTTTCACCTGTTGTACAGGGTGTTCAAGATGTTAAGTGCTATATTCACAAATTAACAGGTGCCTTAAATTTGCAGCTATCGAGTTCAGATTTGGCAGAAGGATAGAAGTCTACACCCGCATTTCACCTGTTGAAAAGGACTTACTCAAATCTCGCAGAATATTTAAAAAAAAAATTGTAATTTCTTTTTTGGTATATTTTGCCAGAAAAAAAATATTTTCTCGAAAACTATTAACCTGATTGGCAAAATTTGTAAACTAGGAAATGTACGAGATCCGGGACCATAACTTTTATTTCAGACATTTTTTTTTCATTAGATATAAGAATTTTCAGACATAAATCTAAAAGACCCCGTATTAAATTATTAGCCGTAAATCAAAATTAGTGAAAAATATTGCCAATTGGAGTAAACAGTGTTATAGGACACATCGAGAGCTATAATTTTTGTATTTTCGGTTTTCGTTTATCACAGACCCTATGAAATATTTGAAAAAATCCAAATGAAAATCACGATTTCTCCCCTCAATCTAGACGCGATGACGTCATTTACTATTACTATGTGTACCGCATGGTTTCGAAAAACAAGTTATTTCTTGACAACCGCTGACTCTATTGAAAAAAATCATATATAATGTACATGGGCGATTCAGGGCACTAAACCTCTATTTGGAAGATCGTTTATAGGCAAAAAAAAAAATAAAATATACTAAAAATTTCCGTTTTGTGGGTAAATTATTCGGTATAAATGAAAAACTGTTAAAGATGCGTTACTTTGATTTGAACAGTATTGTTAACTGTATCGAGAGAGAGTTTCAGGTTTCGTCAATTATACAAGGCGCGCGAAATATTTGAACTATTTATGCAAATTTTAATATTTAACAAAGGTTGCCGTAACTTTAACTTTAACTTAACTTTATACAGGGTGCATGCAAAATTTAATTACGTCGATTTTGTGAAAGTTCCATGGTGGTCCGCAGGAGCAGGACAGAAAAGCAATGCGTCCCTGTAGGACAAGAAACCGCGAAACTCCTTCTTTTTAAAATAAAAAGCTGCTTCGCGCTACGCGCTACAAATTTGCTCCGCCCAGTGACGATTTTTCGAAAGCAACCTTGTTATCAACTTTCCTTTTTACATTTTCCTGAAACTATCTCAACCCGAAAGTGAGTCCGAAAGCAACATCACACTTGCCACTGTGGTCCTTACTTACATTCGAAACATTGCTGACCACATATCAAAAGTTCTTCAGAAATGTAATGTTAAAACCAGATTTACGACTTGTCCAAAAATCTCTCAACATCTTCTACCAAAGAAAAATCCGAGAATCTCTAAACATACCAGAAAATCTAACCTTCCTGCTTCACACAGTGTACAGGCAGTTACAGAATAGACTGCGAACCAGTTTCAGTTAAGCACTGAAGAAGTCCAGTTCATGGGCGCGAGCGACTGGAGGAATTCTTTTTCTGACACAACTTGACTATAAATTTGAACTAGGACAGATTAATAGCAATAATTATAATAATTTAAATTTTAGAATTGCAGATAAAAGTTATTAAACTTTAATGCTTGCTAATTAATATCGTTTTATTTCGAAAATAGCAATAGTAGCAATAATAGCAAAAATGATTGTAATAAATATCACAAAGGATGATGACACCAGCAAATGCCATATACCGAATATTTCATAAATTCAACTTCTTATGTTAAAAATACTTGAGAATTCACCTCGTTTCTAAATTACTGGACAATTATTAACTGATTTTTTATTATTTCTGTGTGTCTCTATAAAATCGCAATTTTTAAGAGTCCCTATATACCAGATGTCCAAAAATTATGAATAACCGGGAATATCTTAATAATTATAAATACACACCTTAGGGAATTTTAGAGGGCCTCTCGCGACTCCAAAATTCCTCTCTTCTACGAACTCCTGATATGTGAACCAAGGTTCACATATCAGGACTACTCCTTCGAACTATTATCCAGCACCACCATTATCCAGCAAAACATTTAGCTTCTATATTAAAACACATTACTGAAAATTGATTATTTCTTATTATTCCGTTCACTTCATTGAGCAATTCAAAAGTATTGCAATATAACCAAATGATTAGTTTTGACATAGAGTCGGTAATTACTAAAGTTCATATTCCTGAGACTCTCAACATAATTTCAATTAATAGAAATTCGAGAATATTCATCATGGCTTTTATAAGTGACCAAATTGTCAGAACTATCCTATCCATTTTCCATCTATCTTTAATGATCATTCTGTTTAAAAAGTGGAAATATAACAGTAGTTGGCAACGTTGTTTTTTTGGTTTATTGGGGATATCCACCAAAATATTCGGAATGCTGAAACTAAGTCTGGGACATTTGCCCTGTCGCGAATAATATGACAACTTATGAAGAAAATTAGTATTTAAGAAATGTTTGTTTGGAAAACTAATAAATAACTAATATTTATGACTTAATCGTAATATTCCAGTATATTCCCAATTTTATGCCATTTAGATGAATTTAATTGAAGATGAGATTATTGAGAAATTTTAGAAGTATACCTAAAATGTTTCAAAACTTGCACCTAATGTGCACGTTTGACTGAACGGCTTTCTTTTTCCTTCAGGAAACAGTTTTCTAAGATAAATATTATAGACAAACAATCTTGAAATAATTGATTGCTTAATTTTTACATGCGCCATATGGTAGTCAGTCCAATAATGACCGGTCGTTAATACACTACAGATTTAATTTTGAGTGACGGCTTTAAATTTTAGCACATATCTATTATAGACAGGGAAAATGGAATAGAATAGAATAGCATTTATTGGCCCTTATATACAAAGCAGTACATGGAATGTCATACAATAACCTTAAACGAAAACACTCAAAAATATACATACATAGGTGCAAATTTAATCTAACAAATATCTTAAATTCTGTCGGGTTGTAGAATGAATGTTCAGGTAGAATATTTTCTAAAAATTTCTTAAATGTAGCAGTAGTAATCTATGTGAGGTTATATTATTTGTACTTATTTTTAAGTAGGTTACAAAGACTCTAATCTATTTTATTAGTTTGGGTTATTTTGATCCTTGAACTCGATATTATCTTGTAAATTTATATGGATTTGAATAGTGTTTCCAGTGCACCAGGTGTATTCAAAAAGTAAGGCGCCTTTTGTAATTAGGCATGTCGGTACTCATGTGCCTCACATATGTTCACAGTTTCAGTCAGTTTGCACCTTTACTTTTTTTGAGACAGAAGCGTTAGAAGTGTTTTATGTACTCGCAGATTTTCTGCTGCAAAAAAATTGAACAACGAATTTGCATAAAATTTTGTGTAAAAAATGGAATACTGAGCTCCAAACCTCTTCAAATATTGACAACGGTATATGGTATATGGTGATTTACTTTGAGCAAAAAAAATGTTTATAGGTGGTACAGGCTGTTCCAAGATAGCCGAGAAGACGCCGATGACGAACCTCGCTCTGGACGACCCAGCACGTCAATAACTGATGAAGGCGTTGAAGAAGTGAAACAAACGGTGTTGAAAAGTCGTCGAATCACTATTAAAGAAGTAGCTGAGGATGTTGG